AAAATCACAAAGTACCGGGACTTGCAAATTGAAGTTGAGCGACTATGGAAAAAGAAATTGTGTGTTGTCCCGATTGTAATTGGAGCCCTTGGAGCAATACCCAAAGGGCTACCCCGCTATTTAGAAATTCTAAATTTGCCAGACTTGAACATTTTGACTCTACAAAAAACCACCTTACTCGGAACAGGTTACATCCTCCGACGATACCTTAACAGTTCCTAGGTCCTTGGTTAGGACTCGAGCTGCTGAGCTATTAACCAGCCTCAAAGGCTGTGAATCCCACTAAAGATTTAATAATAATAATAATAATAATAATAATAATAATAATAATAATAATAATGATGATGGACTATTTTTACCATTTGAATATTTTCTTATTTTGCTTATTATAATATATTTATATTATTATATTATATTATAGTATTATAATATATTTATGTTGCTATTTATGAGCCAGTTAGAGTCCAAATGATTGGAATGGCAAAAAATACCCTTTCATAATCATCTCCTTCTCCTCCTCCTCCTCCTCCTCCTCCTCCTCCTCCTCCTCCTCCTCCTCCTCCTCCTCCTCCTCCTCCAGAATATCGCAGAGCAGCAACTTATAGTATCTTTTAAAATTCAAAGTAAGTGCTTTGGACTTGGCTCTTCTCCTTCTCCTTCTCTTCCCGCTCCTCCTCCTCCTCCTCTTCTCCTTCTCCTTCCCCTTCCTCCTCCTCCTCCTCCTCCTCCAGAATATGGCAGAGCTGCAATTTATAGTATCTTTTACAATTCAAAGTAAGCTCTTCTCCTTCTCCTCCCGCTCCCCTTCTTCTTCCTCTTCCTCCTCCCCTCCCCCTCCTCCTCCCCCTCCTCCCTCTCCCTCCCCTCCTCCCTTTCTTGTGCCTCCTCTTCTTCCTCATCTGCTAGTCATTAACAATTTGCTATTTCCAGCAGTTTCCAACATCTTGCAAGTTGAAGAGAATGTCTCCCCTCCCTTGCCTACACAGAGAATTGGCTGAGATGCTTCCTCCACCTTATTACTTCTGTGGGCTGAGACATCTCTTCTCTACCCTGGTTGTAGCCCTTCTTCCTGTTTCCAAAGGGTTATTCTCACAGCTGATTACAATGTCTTGCCAATGTCTTCCCTTGACTTTTGATAGAAAGGAGACAACTCCTGGAGAGTGATTATGCTGTGACAGACAAGATATGGAATTAATTACAGAAGCATTACACTTGACCCCTAGGAAGATCATGAAATATATCTCCTTCAAGAGCCTTGGTGGCGCAGTGGTTAGGGTGCAGTATTGCAGGCTATTACTGGCTGCCAGAAGTTTGGCAGATCGAATCTCACCAGGCTCAAAGTTGACTCAGCCTTCCATCCTTCCGAGGTGAGTAAAATGAGGACCCAGATTGTTTGGGGCAATATGCTGACTCTGTAAACTGCTTAGAGAGGGCTGTAAAAGCACCGTAAAGCGGTATATAAGTCTAAGTGCTATTGCTATTGCAGTTTTTGAAAGAAACTTGAAAGCAAATGCATCCGTTTGAATGAGAGTTGGTACAAAAATGTGGGTGAATATTTCTTACCGGCATTACTTTTCTTAAATACCAAAAGAAGATACGATGTCCTTCCTGTTTATATTAATTTTTAACTGTTATCATTATTACCTTGCTTTTTGTTGCTCGTAGAAAACTTCAGTATTATCTGCTTGATGATTTTCCAGGAGTCTGAGATCATTCAAGTTTTTACTCTCAAGGGTTTTTTTTCCCATCATTTCTGGGAACAGCCTTCTAAGCTTTGTTAATTTCATCAGTGCCTTACAGGGGGTTAACATCATAAACAGAGCTATTCTTTGCCAAACCACAGAGGCAGGAGAGTAAAAAAAATCAGCAGAACTGTTATCTAGGAATGTCCTTAGATAATACTGTCAACTCTTTCATTTAAGGAATTTTTTAACTCTACAAACTTGAAGTTAGCCAAGTTCCTCAAACTGCATCGTTCTAAAGCAAGAAAGTCTTGGAGTGAACTTTTCTCTAAACCGCCATCTTTGAGAAACACTTATCCTAGTCTAGGACGATGATAAAGATTTGGCTCAAACTGTTTGATATTAAATATTATCATCCATGTATAAACACTAAAGTGATCCTCATTGAATAGTGCAGCCATCTTAAGTTGAATAAAAATAGCAACAAAAGAGCCCTGAATTTTACAGACCAAGCTTAATGTCGAGCCCAAATTTGACATACGTGTAGCCATTTTATTTAGCTCTCTATTATACTCATTTATTCCTTTTCTTTCTCTTTACTAATAAAGGGAGTTTCCGGGCTCGCCACATTCTTAAGATGGGGGGAAGAAGGAGCAAATAGATAGTGAGGATTGTTTTGGCTAGGTGACTTTCTTTCATTAACAACTGGGCATTAACAACTGGGAAACCTTGACCTCCGATCATTCAGCATGGAGGCTAAAGACGTGGCATGGCCTTCTCCAATTCGAAGAGACACTTGTTCGGCAGGCTGAGGCAAAGAGGCAGTCCCGGAACCAGCGAAATCTGGGGGCTGGGCCAGGGACAGAATGTATCTGCCCTCAGTGTGGAAGGGATTGCCACTCTCGAATTGGCCTTTTTAGTCACACTAGATGCTGTTTTAGGACCTTTTTCCAGAGCACGATACCATAGTCTCTTGAGACAGAAGGATGCGAATGTGTATGTAATGTTTCTTTCCTGTGGGAACAGAGGCTGCTCCTGGTGAGAATGGAAAGTGGAGTTTGAAGACACCGGGAAATGCAGATTGAGTGTTTATTGGAGAATGTGACTTTTGAGGGTTGTTTCTAATTTACAATATTATGTGGGGTAATTCCGGTTTGTGTAAGATCCGGAATTACAATAGACTTTGGCAATTTGATGCCTGCCTAAATAAAAGAATTTTGTTTTGGAAGATGGACTTTGCTCATTCTTTTTTTGAATGGGTTTCATCACTTGGAAACCTGGCACATAAACTCTTTCATCTAAAGATGCATCTCAAACATTCTTCAACCAACATTGCAAAATGGACTCCTCAGAATATTTTTATTTATTTGTCATATTTATGTACACACACACAATAGCCAGGGTTGATCATGAATGGGTGAAATCCATATTTTTGGTGAAATTCAATTTTTTTTTACTACCTGTTCTGTGGGCGTGGCCTAGTGGGCATAGTGGGGCTTGGTGGGCGTGGCTTGGTGGGTGTGGCAGGGGAAGGATATTACAAAATCTCCATTCCCTCCCCACTCCAGAGGAAAGATACTGCAAAATCTCCATTTCCACCCCACTCTGGGGCCAGCCAGAGGTGGTATTTGCCGGTTCTCTGAACTACTCAAAATTTCCGCTACCAGTTCTCCAGAACCTGTCAGAACCTGATGGACACCATTTTATAATGCCTTGGTAAGACTGCACTTGGAATACTGCATCCAGTTTTGGTCACCACGAAATTAAAAAAAGATGTGGAGACTCTAGAAAGAGTGTAGAAAATTGCAACAAAGATGATTAGGGGACTGGAGCCTAAAGCATATCAAGAACAATTGCTGGAATAGGTATGACTAATTTAATGAAAAGAAGGACTAGGGATGACATGATAGCAATGTTCCAATATTTGAGGGGCTACCAAAAAAGAAGAGGGGATCAACTTATTTTCCAATGCACCAGAAGGCAGGAGAAGAAGCAATGGATTGAAAATAATCAAGGAGAGAACCAACCTAGAACCAAAGAAAGGTAAGGGCTACTGAAATTGATTGTGGCCTCAGCATATTTTTGTAGTTCAAAATGTGCCCACATGTTTGACATAACAAGATAAGGAGAAAATCCAACACAATTTGCAGTTAATGAGCTTTGCTTCCAAGGACTGAAGTATCTGTAGGCCATATTTACATTCTTACTTAAAAAACAAAATGAGGAATTTTCATTTGAGGATCAGGAGGAAGGTCATACGTTCAATTAAAAGGGTTTCTGTAAAATAAACATATATACAACTGACTGAGAGTTTCTGTGCAAGAACTCTGCTGCAAGGAATGTACCTCATTCGAGCTTTCAATAATTTACCAGGTTCTGATAGTTTTAAGAGGGCTCTGGAAACGTCTGGGGAAAAATTCATTTATCTTAGACTTCTGCCTCAGATGGAATGATGATAGAGTTGGGCCCACACTTTGTTGATAAATTGTATGAGCAACTGTTATTTCTTTATTGCTTTGAGTATTTCAGCAAAAGACTTAATCAATTATGATAAATGACTTTCTATAATCAATTCTATAGAAATAATTACTAGCTACACCAGTGAAATTCAGAACTACCAGTACTACCTCAGAGATATAAAAGCAGATGTCAGGCTGAGTCTGACCACACACTTGTTTATTTGTGTGTGTGTGTTTGTGTGTGTGTGTTGAGTGTAGGCAAGCCTAGAGATGCTTCTTGAAGAAAGTTGTTGGGCACAACCCATAGAAAAGTGCTGACAATATGAAAATGAGATTATGTTTGGAACGCGATCTGTTCTTTACACCTTATCTCCAATGGAGGTCAGAGATACAGAAAATAACAGAATGACAAGTTGAAGGGACTTTGGATGTCTTCTGACTCCTACCCCCTGATCAAGCAGGAGACCCTAGATCATTTTCAATCATTGGTTTAATTCAACTAGAAATAAGCCAGATGCCAGCTTGTCTCACAGAGATAGAATACTTATCTTATCTAGAGTATCTATGAAACTGGAATATTGCATCCAGTTTTGGTTGCCATGATATAAAAAAGATGTTGAGGCTCTAAAAAGAGTGCAGAGAACAGCAACAAAGAAGTTTAGGGGACTGGAGCTAAAACATATTGTTAGAGAAAAGTTATTTCTCAATTGCTGTGCCTATTAATGACTTTTGGAATGGACAAGCGGGTGAGCCAATCAGAAGGCAGCTGATGGGTTTGAATCTCCAGGGCTTTTATGTTCCCTCCCCTAACTGTCACTGGGACAGTATAAAAGGAGATTCCTGACAGAAAGTTAGTTAGTAGTCAGTTAGTTGTCAGTTAGAGGGCAGTTCTGCAGTTCTAATGTCAGTTAGAGGGCAGTTCTAAAGGGCAGTTCTGCAGTCAGTATGCAGTTGAAAGGCAGTTCTGAAGACAGTTAGTCATCAGTAAGTTGGCAGTTAGGAGATTTCTGATTAGGGATCAGAGGTAGATCTGATGTATTAAAAGACTCCTTCTTCTGAGGAAGAATAGCCAGAACTATAATCATATAGAGTGATTACATATATGTATCTGACAGGATATTTAAGAAAAGGAATGACATACTATTTAGTATTTGAATAGATATTGTTTTTATTATTATGTAAATAAAAACAGTTTACTGTGAACTGCTAGTAAGTCTCATTTGTTATAGTAGATTGTTAGAGAGATAAGGTTTTACAGTACATTGATTTAGCCTCCATGACACATATGAAGAAGGGTTGCAGGAATAGGATATATATATATATATATTAATTTGATTTATATGCCGCCCTTCTCCGGAGACTCAGGGCGGCTTACAATGCGCTAAGCAATAGCCTTCATCCTTTTGTATATTTATACAAAGTCAGCTTATTGCCCCCACAAACTGGGTCCTCAATTTACCTACCTTAGAAAGGATGGAAGGCTGAGTCAACCTTGAGCCTGGCGAGATTCGAACCTGCAGTAATTGCAGGCAGCTGGTCTTAATAACAGGGTGCTTTAGACCACTGTACTACCAAGGCTCTGTCTAATTTAATGAAAAGAAGGACTAGGTGTGACATGATAGCAGTTTTCAAATATCTAAGGCCATGATGGCGAACCTATGGCCCTCTCTGATGACATGCAAGCCATCGCCCCAGTTCAGGTCTGCTGCACATGCACATGCGCCTCCTGCCAACCAGATGGTCTTCGGGTCTCTGCTGCGCATGCAGGGGCGGGGCACATGCAGGGCGGTCACACACGCATTGCATTTTGGAGGTTTGGGTATGCACTTTGGGCACTCAGTCCGGAAAAGGTTAGCCATCACTGATCTCAGGGGCTGCCACAAAGAAGAGGGAGTCAATCTATTCTCCAAAGCACCTGAGGGTAGGACAAGAAGCAATGGGTGGAAACTAATCAAGGACAGAAGCAATCTAGAACTAAGGAGAAATTTCCTGGCTGAGAGAACAATTAATCATTGGAATGACAAGTCTCCAGAAGCATCACATGATCAAGGGAATGCTGTAATGATCATAAGTGTGAAAAACAGACATAAATCAACTTGTTCAATGTTGTAACTTCCAACGATCACTAAATGAAGTGTGGTAACTCAAGGTCTACTTGTACACCAAAATTGTCCTGTAAACCAGGGGTCACCAATCTTTCGGACCTCAGGGACCACTAAATTCATAATTTAAAATCCCACGGACCACTAATATGATCTGCCTAATGACCGGCTGGGTGGGCGTGGCTAGGTGGTCATGTGATTGGGTGGGCATGGTCAACTCGATGTCACTCACGTTGAGAGGCACCTCGCCGGCCTTTACTCACCCCTCCCCTCCCAGCCCCTCTCCACCTGCATGCCCAGGCTCCTTAGTGCCCCAACGGGAAGCAGTTGTTGGAGCAAACAGCCACCATGAGAAAGAGTTGGCAAAACAGCAGCTCAGCTCAAATTGGATCTGAGCGAGAATGAGGCTCAGCAGAAGCACCTCACTGAGGACTATAGGAGCATAGGCTTTCCATATCAGATATATATTGATGGTCGTGCTCATTTGGTTCTATGAGGAAGTTATTTGGTCAATACAGCTTCAGGTTCAAAAGGTTGTTTTTAATATTTACAAATATATACATGCATACGATAATGAACAGGGTGTCCTGTTACATTTTTACCCTAACTGTATGACTCAGATGTTGAGTGGAGAGAGAAGTTCACGTATTGTCTCACTGAGAGATAGATGAGAGAGAGAGAGAGAAAAAAAGGGAAGATATCCAAGTGGTTTCTAGGTAAGAGTCCAATAAGAGAGTTCATTGGCTGATATAGTCACATGTGATGTCTGTAAAGATTTAACCCCTTCTAGTCTCTGGTGCATCATATGCAGGCAATATCTGACATTCCAAGCAGAGGGAAGACCTGCAGGAGTGCAAGGCCAGGTACTGGCACCTGGAGGCTCAGCGGGCTGAGATGGTCAGTCAGTTCCAGGCAGTCCTACTGGAACAAGGCCCTCTGGCTCTTTGCCACCAGCGGCACTTCCCTCCAGCCTTCACCCAAAGCCCTGCACCAGGAGGCTGAAGCAGACCCAAAGTTGGAATTTTTGCCCCCCTCCGACCCACACAAAAAGACTGCAAAGGGGGAGATTTTCTGCAGCAACACAATTCTTAATTGCATGTATCCGGCAGAGAGGAGTTTGAGGACCCTTGATTTAGTGCAATATAAAAAATACAAATAATTTTTCTGTGGACCACCAAAATTTTCTCGTGGACCACCAGTGGTCCACGGACCACTAGTTGGTGACTGCTGCTGTAAACTGTAGCAGCTTGACTGTTTCCATAAGATGGAAAACAGGATGTTTCAAAGGCCCTCTTCCAGATATTCTCTGGGTCTTCATACCTGGTCCTTCCTCTTTCCCTTGGAGTAGTAACATGATAGGTTTGACTGTCAAAACTTGTCTTCTAAGGAGCACATCGCCTTGACTATTCCTTCTAATCCCAGTGAATATGAGACACACATCACAACTTGCCTCCCCAACAAATAAAAACAGGAGACAGTGAAAGGGAAAAAAAAAGAGATAATATTTATAGGAGTATCTCCTGCCCATTTAGCAGCAAGTCATAAGGTTACAAAAGGGGATTACAGGACCCCGGGACACTGCAATCGTCATAAATATGAGTCACTTGTCAAGCATCCGAATATAAATCATGCAACAAGGGAATGCTGCATGCAACGGTCGTAAGTGTGAAAATGGTCATAAGTTACTTTTTTCATTGCCCTTATACCTTTGAATGGTCCCTAAGCGAACGGTTGTAAATCAAAAACTATCTGTACAGGCTGTTTTAATATAGGCAGCATCCCAGGAGCTGAAAAAGAGGTGGTGATATTACACATGGCATGATGTCACTGAACAACTGACATGAAGTATCTATTGCAGAGGTGTCAAACTGGATTTCTTTGAGGGCCGGATCAGCATTGTAGATCTCTGTGGGCCGGCAGGGGGGAGTGGGGAGATGGGACAGATGCCTCCTGCTGGCCAAAACAGTGCATCAGGGGGTGCTTGGGGCCCCCTTGCCACATTTTTGGCCTGGACGGACTCTGCACCACCTCGCGTGGCCCCCCGTGCCCCATTTTGGCCAATAGAGTGCTGCAGGAGGCCATCCAGGCCCCAAATTGGGGCGTGGGGGCCTCGTGCACACCCCCGTGCCCCGTTTTGGCCAACAGAGTGTCGCCATTCAGGTCAGGGGTAGGTTCTACCTACCTTTACTACCGGTTTGCAATGGGGCCGCTCGCGCAGAAGCTTCTGCACATGCGCAGAAGTGTTCTGATGACATCGGGGTCAATGGGCGGAGCCTCCCGCCGGTTTTACTACTGGTTCTATAGAACTAGTGCAAACCGGAGGCAACCCAAGCACTCTGCAGGCTGGATGGGTCCCACGGGCCTTGAGTTTGACACCCCTAATCTAATGTCTACCATTGACATCCTGAGATCAAAACACATTTGATGCAAATGTATGTGGTCATTGAAGGATTTTCTTTTCTGTCCTCCCTGATTGAACTGCAATAGCTGAATGTAATGTATGACCTGAAATTTTAAACCAGGGTTAAAATTGGATGAATACTGTAATTTGGGCAGAAAATCAAGCTTAACATTATTTTCTGTAAACTCTTTTATTTGACCATTTAATGGCACCATTTCCTGCCAATGCTTTTAAAATAATGAATTGCATTCCAGTAGACACACTTTCAAAAAGAAAGAAGGGCTAGGAGAAAAGAAAACATTTTTTAGTCAATTAAAACATGAATACCGGCATATTTGCAGGATATGGTCAATTGGCTCAGCCATCTCAGTGTACCAAAGGTTGCTTAATCATAATTTATAGACTAAACAACATTTGGTTGGTCTCACATAAGATACTAAGCCTTAAACTACATTCTCCCAACATTTGCTGTGTTTACACATTGTCCTAAGCCATTAGCAACAAAGATAATCAGGGGACTGAAGGCTAAAACATATGAGGAACGGCGTCTGCCATAGAATTGCCACCAGGATCCTAAGGTGTCTGTCTGAGCTAATTTTGTCTTGCCTAATTGCTTATCTGGAGTTTCTGTCTGACCCAGTCTTTCTGAATGGATCACCAAATCTGCATTTCTAAAAGCTGGCCTCCCCATTTTTTGCTTGGGGCAGGAAAACTGGGGCTGGTTTCTGCCTCCCTTAAGATTTCCCCCCATTTTTCCTTTAGGGGAAATAGTCTATCCGGCCTTTTTAATATTCTCCAAAATATTTCATTCTCTAGGAGGGTGGGTGTGTGCTGACTTTCTACCATACCTGGGATATTCTATTCCATATCTCACCTCCAAAAGGTCAACTAACATTTTGTAATCAGTGGTGGGAGTCAGCCGGTTCAGACCAGTTCGGGTGAACTGGTAGTTAAATTGCTGACTGGCCCCACCCCTTCCCACCCTGCCCCTTCCAGGAATCCCCACGTGTCCCATTTTGGTTCCCAGGTAAGTGCAGAGAGGCCTATTAGGCCCAAAATGGGGCACGGGGGGTGCAGCACCCCCCTGTGCCCCATTTTCGCTCCCAGGAGGCTTCAGGAAGGCCTCCTAGGCCCAAAACAGGGTACGGGGGGTGCGGCACAGCCTCCCATGGCTTTTTTTCACTCCCAGGAGGCTGCAGAGAGGCCTTCTAGGCTAGGCTCAAGACGGGGCATGCGGGGTGTGGTGTGGTCCCCCCTCGGCCCATTTTCTCTCCCAGGAGGCTGCAGGGAGGCCAATAGGCCCCAAAAGAGGTCCGGGGGTGGCGCATCCCCCCACGTCCCGTTTTTGCTCCGGGGGGGATGCAGGAGGCCGAGTGCTGCCTGTCACGCCCTCCTGGCCACGCCCACCATGGCCACGTCCACACAGCTAGTCATTAGGGCAGAGAACCAGTTGTTAAATTGTTTGTAACCCCAAAACACCTTTATCCTTGAGAAGGTTGGAGAGAGAAAGTATCTTCTATTTGCCTGCAATTTTGATTCAGGATCTAGAAGGTAAACTTACCTTTCAAATATAAAAGAATGACGAAGTCTCTGTGGGCACGAAGCAAACATGAAAGTTAAACTTGCCGCAGTTGTACTTTCTGTGAAATTGCAAAGAAACAAAGGATTCCTTTCCTTTTATTTAGATTAGAAGAGCTCTTTTCATTTACGTTTCATTAAAGATTCTAATTACAAGGGGAAGAAAACACAATGCAAATTGAAAAAAGAAGCAGAAAAGGTACAGAAAAGAAAGAAAAAAGATAAGTAGAAAGATAAATGGATCAACAATTTTTGTTTTTGGAGTGGCTCACTTGGTTATATAATGACATTGTGTGCAATAGGTAGCAAATATCTTGTATTTACTAGAAAGAAAAAACTATGTTTTTCCCCTTAAAGAATTTATCTTTAAGATAGAAAGATTGTTTCAGATTTGTTGGGAATAGTATACAAAGCAGATCTTCCTACTTTTTGGACTGGCATTATCATCTTACATTCAAGGTCATCTTCCTTTATAATATAACTTTTTATAATATAATATAACTTTCAGTGTAAGCAAGGAATATGACTTTGGGGGTTCGCAGGGGTTTGGGAGAACCTCTAGCTAAGATTCTGTACAGTTTGGAGAATCCCCAAATCCCACTCCTGGCTGGCCCTGCCCCGCCCCGCCCCTCTCCTCCCAGGAGTCCCCATGTGGCCTGTTTTGGATGCAGGTAAGTGCAGGGCACGAGCGGAGACTCAGGGAGTGTGAAAAATGGGCCCATCAGAAGTCCGTTTCCAGCCTCCAGAGGGCCTCCGGAGCCTGGGGAGGCCATTTTCACCCTCCTGGAAGCTCGAGGAAAGCCTCCAGAACCCGGGGACGGAAAAAACGCCCCCCCCCACTGCGGTGCAGGCGGCCGACTAGGCCACGCCCACCATGGCCACGCCCACCCAGCAACTGGGCAAAGAACCCCTTGCTAAAATTTTTGAAGCCCACCCCTGGACTTAACGTCTCTGCAGTGCATGTACCTGCCCCAAACAGCCTCTAACTGAAGTTATGGGATGATCTTCTGCAGCTCAAGGGTTACGAGATGATCATATTATAGAACTACCCCTTTGTTGCTCACTGAAGTACAATTATAATGATGGAAGCCTTCAAGCTGAGTGGGAATCTTCTTAAATCACACAAAATATCAATGCACTCACTTGAGAATTAAGGAGAAATTTCCTGTCAGCAAGAACAATTAATCAGTGGAAAGGCTTGCCCCAGGAGTTGTGGGTGCTCCATCGTTGGAGGTTTTTAAGAAGTCATTTGTCTGGAATGGTGTAGGGTCTCCTGCTTGAGCAGTGGGTTGGACTAGAAGACCTCCAAGGTCTCTGTCAACTCTGTTATTCTGTGTTCTATATTCTACCTCTTAAAAACAAAGGAGGAAGTGCCTGAAGGAGCCTTTCCTTCCCTTTCCTTTCCTTCCCCTCCCTTCCATTCCCCCTCCTCTCCTTTCCTTTTTTCCTTCCCCTTTCCTTCCCTTTTCCTTTCCTTTCCTTTCCTTTCTTTTCCTTTCCTTTCCTTTCCTTCCCCTCCCCTCTCCTTTCCTTTTTTCTTCCCCTTTCCTTTCCTTCACTTCCCCTCCCCTCCCGTCCCCTCCCCTTTCCTTTTTTCCTTCTTCTTTCCTTTCCTTTCCTTCCCTTCCCCTCCCCTCCCCTTTCCTTTTTTCCTTCCCCTTTCCTTTCCTTCCCTCTCCTTCCCCTCCCCTTTCCTTTTTTCCTTCCTCTTTCCTTTCCTTTCCTTTCCTTCCCTTCCCCTCCCCTCCCCTCCCCTTTCCTTTTCTCCTTCTCCTTTCCTTCCCCTTTCCTTTCCTTCCCCTTCCCTTTCCCCTTCCCCTTCCCCTTCCCTTTCCCCAATCTGGAATATGGAAGAATAAAAACTGGCATTAAGCATCGAGTTATACTTGTGCATAAAAATAGTAGTATTTAGCAACACAAGAGGAAAAAAAATGAGTTTAGTTTCTAGTTAGGCACGCTGAACACATAAAGCAGCCGTTACTTCTTTTTTATTTTACCTGGAAATTCTTCCTTGCTTGAAGGTCTTCTTCAATCAGAGGATGGAGAAAATCCCTCCTAGCTGTGGCAATACACACCTTCTCCTCCTCCTTCCCACTTGCTTCCTGATTTTTCCTTTGCCTTTTAAAGAGGCCAACATTTCTGTCTTTAGCTGAGAGAGGGGGGTTATGTCTTACATGACAAAAAAGGACACCTCTCCCAGGTGGAAATGTAGATTCTAACTCAGAGGCAGGCAGGCAAGTAGGCAGGCTGGCTGTGTTACGGATGGGCTGCAACCTACATGTTCACTAGACAGAAGCTTTTAACAGTTTCGGCTGCAGTCTTATTTTTACCGTCTTGAAAATCACTCGCCTAAACGATGCACTGTCGAAATATTTTCTTGCTCTTCAAAGGCCTTTCTTCTCTTCACATCTGAGATATAATTTAGAAATGAGCTGCGGTTGATTGGTGAGCTTAAGACAAAGCTACGTTTTTTTCTTGTTACTTCAAGGCAGGGTTATCTCGTGCATAGGCGTTTAGGTTAAAAAGAAAAAGAAAACAGGGTTTAACTATGCAGTCACATCCACCATCTTGGTTTTGGGGGATTCCCCTTGCAACACCCCTTGTTCTGACCCAGCTCCCCAAACACGACAAACCCTCTGTAGCTGAAGAAATGATTCCTTTATTAGGAGCACCAGCAGCCCTGGAAAAAAGTTTCTCTTTTACCTCAGGCTAACAAGTCTGTCCAGCAGGGGAGATGAATAGTTGTCTGCCACACCTATTCCTCTCCGCCCGCTGCCTTTTATCCACAGAGCTAGGGTGGGGCTTTGTAGCAGCGGTAGCTCTTCCGTCCCAAGGATCAGCCCATAGATTTCCACTGCTCTCCTCTCCTCTGCCTTCTGTGCATCCATGCATCAGGCACTGGACCCAGCTGTTCCTCCTCTTCCTCATCAGCCACCTCCTGCCCTGGGGCTGTTGACTCTCCATCTGAGGGCTGATTGATGGTCCAGGCTCCGTCTCTCTCTCTCTCTCTCTCTCTCTCTCTCTCTCTCTCTCTCTCTCTCTCTCTCTCCCAGTTCCATTCCCTCTTCCCCCTGACTCCCACGCCTCCTTCTCCTCCTCTGATTTGGCTGCTGGAGGGGCTGGCAGCCAACAGGCCACAACTCCCCTATTTGGGGAATATTATTCCCTGCATCAGTCATAATATGTATTCCAAAAGTGGGTGCAGTTAGGAACGGGTGCATTGAGACCAAAAAGCGAGTAGAATTAAAATGTATCTCAGAGAAATTGTGAAATGCTGACAGACGGAATTTCTTCCTCATTCAATAAGAACAAAATAGAATGGCAATAATTCAACCGAACTTTCGAAGAGCGAAAGACAGGGATAATTTTCCAGTATATGGTAACTGTCTGTCTAGAACTGTTTAAATATATAGGCACAAGGAAATAACAAATTAGTATTCAAAAGATCCTTACCGATCTTTTTTTTTTTTTTAGAAGTACAGATGTTCAAGTAAAAATGCAAAGACTCATTATGATACAAAGGCCGTGTCCTGAAATCATTGATTTTGTGGCGTTGTGAACAGGAAAGATAAAATAGCAGGCACAGAAAAATAGCGAAGAGAAAAGATGTGAAATAAGTATTAAATCAAACAAGGAAGACCCGGATTTCGGTAAACGATGTATGTTTCAAACAATATATTATTAAATTAAAAGTATTACTGATGGCTCAACTATATGTTATGTATTTCCTGGGCAATCCATCCCTTTCTGTTTTTTTGCTTTTTGTTTAAAAGGAAGTTGATGGAGGTATTACATTTTTTTTCCTTCCTTTAAATCCTTTCATCCTTCTGAGGTCGGTAAAATGAGGACGCAGATTGTTGGGGGCAATATGCTGACTCTGCAAACCGCTTAGACAGCTTTGTAGAGCATTGTGAAGTGGTATAGAAATCTAAGTGCTATTGCTATTTCAGCTCTGAAAAGAAAAAATCATAAAGAAATATCCAGTCTTATATTTACTGGATCAACAGATGTTGATGATCAACTCTTGCATGCCAACTGTCCATCTCTGGTATACATATTATTGTGTATGTTTAAAAAAATATTTAAAAGTTTTCCCTGTTCAGTTGTGACCAACTTAAGGGGCCAGTGCTCATCTACAAATCACAGCCGAGGGAACCTGCATTGTCTGAGACATGCTTTCATTATCATGTGGCCCATTGGTGGGTTTCAATTTTTTTTTTACTACCGGTTCTGTGGGCGTGGCTTGGTGGGCGTGGCTTGATGGGTGTGGCAGGGGAAGGATACTGTAAAATCTCCATTCCCTCCCCAATTCAGGGGAAGGTTACTGCAAAATCCCCATTTCTTCCTGATCAGCTGGGACATGGGAGGCAGAGAATAGATGGGGGCGGGGCCAGTCAGAATTTTTACTACTGGTTCTCCGAACTACTCAAAATTTCCGCTACCGGTTCTCCAGAACTGGTCAGAACCTGCTGAAACCCACCTCGGATGTGACCAGCATGAAAATACAGAACATAGTAACCTTTTCCTGTCGAAGTGGTACCTATTTATCTACTCGCATTGTCAAGCTAGGTTGGCAGGAGCTGGGGCAAGAAGCGGAGCTCACCCTATCATGCACTGTTTGGATCTCAAACCCAGACTATCATCTTTCCAGCATCTTAACTGCTAAGCCATTGCACTGCCCTTTGTATATATTAATTAATAATTAAATTAATTAAATACCCAGCTTGATATTTGTTGGATGAACAGATGATGATATAATCAAGTCTTTATAGACTGCCCATTTTAACCTAGTGTTAATGGTATAAAGACTTCTGCCTTGGGCAGGGAGTTGGACTAGAAGACCTCCAAGGTCCCTTCCAGTGCTACATTTCTATGATTCTAACTACCAAGCATTTGGCTGCTGTGTGTATTTTAATTATTGCTTTTTGATGGTAATTTGTTTTGTGGTTGTTCGCCAACCATAGACACTTGTGCTGAGATGAGCAGCTGTACAAATCTGATCCAATCCGATCCAATCCAATCCAATCCATCCAATCCAATCCAATCCAATCCATCCGATACAATCCGATCTGATCCAATCCAATCTAATCCAGTCCAATCCAATCCATTCAATCCAATCCAATCCAATCCAATCCAATCCAATCCATCTGATCCAATCCAATCCAATCCAATCCAATCCATCCGATCCGATCCGATCCGATCCGATCCGATCCAATCCAATCCAATCCAATCCATGCAATCCAATCCAATCCAATCAAATCCAATCCAATCCAATCCAATCCAATCCAATCCAATCCAATCCAATGCATTACTTAAATTCATTAAATACCCAGTCTGGTATTTATTGAATCCATAGATGATGATTATCGAGTTTTTATAGGCTACCCACTTTAATTAACTGAATGCATTAAATACCCAGTCTGATATTTATTGCATGAACAGATGGCAACGATGATGTTTATGTTGACGATGATGAATAACGTCTTTATAGACTGTCCATTAATTAATTAATTAAACATATAGAGATGCCCAACTTCATTGACCCTGGAAATCTTATAATATCAACAACCCATTCATTAAAAGCTTAAGAACATAAAAATATTGGACACCAGAAAGAACAAGACTGGATCATGCAAAACATCCAAGAATAACAGAACCTCGTTCTAGATCTCCAAAGCTTGAAATACCAGGTCTCCAAAGCTTGCAAAAAGAATCCTTCCACAATAACTCCAAGAGGTTCAAAGCTTTAATTGAATCAATGTGTTCTATGGCCAATAAGGGCTGACATCCTTGCCACACTTGGAATACTGCATTCAGTTTTGGACACCACAATACAAAGAAGATGTTGAGATTCTGGGAAGACTGCAGAGAAGAGCCACAAAGATGATTAGGTGGATGGAGGCTAAAACATATGAAGAACGATTGCAGGAATTGGGTATGTCTGGTCTAGGGAAAAGAAGGACTAGGGGTGACATGATAGTTGTGTTCCAATATTTGAGAGGCTGCCACAAAGAGGGGGATGGGTCAACTTATTTGTTGTGGTCTGCCAGCAGCCTGCGGACCTGGCAGCGGAGTCAGACAGTGAGGAGGCTGGGGAGGACAATGGGCCAGTCCTGGAGTCAGGGGAAGGCCCAGATGAGGGCTCTGCATCGAAGGCAAAGATGGAGCCAGGGCCATCTGGGAGTGATGTGCGGACTCCGGAGCTTCCAGAGGCAAACAAGAGAGAGGCAAGGGAACAGGAAGAGCCTGTTCCTAGTGCATGCATGCGAAGAGCTGCCAGAAGGCAAGAGCAGCTGAAGCAAAAAGGACAACTCGGGAGTAAGGCCAGAAGATGATTGGCCCCTCCCATAAGGCTTAAAAGAGCAGCAACGAGCCGTTGGGGTCTTTGTAGAAAAGCAACGTTGATTCCAGTGCTTCTTGTCAGCGTCCCTTAAACTTTGTGGGGGTTTTGCCAAGAAAAGCCTTTGGCAGGTTGCCAAAGACATCAAAGGTTGATGATAAGGCCAATGGACTGGTTATGAAGAATTTTGTTTTGGACTAAGCTGAGAATGAATTAATTCTCAGCTGTTTTAATAAAATAAGTTTGTTGAGGACTGAATTGTGTTTGGTAATCACTACTTGGGCCTCGGTCACAACATTATTTTCCAAAGCACCAGAGGTCAAGACAAGAAACAACGGATGGAAACTAATCAAGGAGAATTAAGGAGAAACTTCCCAACAGTGAAGGCAATCAACCAGTGGAATGTCTTGCCTCCAGAAGTTGTGGGTGCCTCATCACTGGAGGCTTTCAAGAAGAGACTGGACAGCCGTTTTTCTGACATGGTATAGATTCTCCTGCTCAAGCAAGGCGCTGGACTAGATAACCTCCAAGGTCCCTTCCAACTCTGTTATTCTATGATTCTATACAATGGCTGGATGCACTCCATATGCAACACAAGCCTAAATAAGGTAAATGTGGAACAACAGAAAGCAACCCACAGAGCAGAAAATCTCACAAGCCTTTCTCCGTACGATGAAACACAATAAGAAAATAAGAAAAAGTGACATAAGCAGCAATTTGTTTCTATTCCAGAAGTCCAGTTCTTCGGAGACAGATCCTTCCTCCAGCTTTGATGGACACAGATGCAGGTAGTCCTCAACTTATAGCCACAATTGAGCCCAAAATTTCTGTTGCTAAGCAAGACATTGGTTAAGTGAGTTTTGCCCCATTTTACAACTTTTTTTTGCCACAGTTGTTAAGTGAATCACCGCAGTTGTTAAGTTACTAACGTGATTGTTAAATGAATCTGGCTTCCCCATTGTCAGAAGGTCGCAAAAGGTGATCATATGAAACCCCCCCCCACACACACACACACACTGGAACACTGCAATTGTCATAAACATGAATCAGTCACCAAGTGTCTGATTTTTGATCATGTGACCAGCAGGGGTGGGTTCTACGTACCTTTACTACCGGTTCACAACGGGGTCGCGCAGAAGTGTTCTGATGATGTTGGGGTCAGTGGGCGGAGCCTCCCGCCGATTTTACTACCGGTTCTATAGAACCTGTCCGAAGCGGGGGCAACCCACCACTGGTGACCAGTGGGATGCTGCAATGATTTTAAGTGTAAAAAAGAATCGTAAGTCACTTTTTTCAGTGCTGTTGCAACTTCGAACGGTCACTAAATGAACTGTTATAAGCCGAGGACAACCCGATCCTCGACTTACACCCACAGTTGGAACCAGAATTTCCATTGCTAAGCAAGACGGTTGTTACATGAATTGTGCCAGAGTTTACAAAGAAGAACAGGGGAAAAAGAAAGAAGGGAAGAAAAAGAATAGGATAGGATAGGATAGGATAGGATAGGATAGGATAGGATAGGATAGGATAGGAGAGGAGAGGAGAGGAGAGGAGAGGAGAGGAGAGGAGAGAAGAGAAGAGAAGAGAAGAGAAGAGAAGAGAAGAGAAGAGAAGAGAAGAGAAGAGAAGAGAAGAGAAGAGAAATTAGGAATGGAATGGAATGGAATGGAATGGAATGGAATGGAATAGACTAGAATAGATTTTTTTATTGGCCAAGTGTGAATGGACACACAAGGAATTTGTCTTTGGTGCATAGGCTCTCAGTGTACATAAAAGAAAAGATATGTTCATCAAGAATCATAAGGTACAACACTTAATAATAGTCATAGGGTACAAGTAAGAAATCAGGAAACAATATCAACATAAATCGTAAGGATACAAGCAACAAAATTACCATCATACAGTCAACGTTTAACGTTTAACAACGTTTCTAGCATTATAAGATAACCATTCATTGGAGTTCTCCAATATTCTTTTGATATTTTAGATTTCCTTCTTCGGTCTGCATCATTACAAAAAAGGAGAAGAAAAATGTTTTGTTTTCAAGCATCATCGGGCAAATAATTGAGCTCGGTGCAAACATCTGGCAATCAGGTATTTAGAAGCTGTCCTGTCAAGTTAGCTATTATTTCCATCGACCTTGCAAATATCATTTTAAAACTATGCACGTTGAGAGACACTGAAATTTCTGAGCCTTTATTACCGGCCTGGCAGATGTGTCTCTGTTTGTATAAAATGCATTGAATGTCTTTGTGTATGCTTGGAAACAGAGAATCAGAGAGATCAGCCAACGTTAAATTAGTTCTGCCAGGAATATCCTGGTGGATGCTGTTTTTAAGCAGCCCTGGGCATATCAGAGAAACTGGCTAT